GTTGGAAGTTACTGAAAGAGAAAAGATGAAGACTGTAGAGCAAGATAACGATTGGCAGACGACATAAAAGATTGCAAATTATATGAATCAGGAAAGCAAGATGAAGGAAGCGAATTCCAAAGAACTGATGTTCGTGGAAAAAAACTAGATGAATAAGAGTTTTTGGAGCACTTAGGAACAGTAACAGTAAAAGGATGAGACTTAATTGAATGACGAGTAACACAAGAATGAATTTTAGTAGATGGCACAAGAGACGCTAGCTCTTTAGAGCAGTGCAAATTGTAGTATTTGTAGAAAAGAGAAAGAGAAGCAACATTACGACGATGTGACAGAGGTTGAAGGTTTGCTGCAAGAGCAGGTCCAACTATGTTTACAATGCATTTTTGCACCTTGTTTAAAAGAGAAAGAGCATCATTAGAAGCTCCACCCCAGATATCACAACAGTATTCCATACAAGGCCGGATTTGAGATTTATAGAGATTGAGAATAGAATCCAGAGTAAGAAAGTGACGAACTCGATAAAGAGAAGCAATGTTAGCAGATGCTAATTTTGCAACGGATTTGATATAAGGTTTCCAAGAAAGATCAGAAGTGATCTTTCTTGGAAACCATGCTGTAGCAGAAGTGAGATCCTTTTCAAGCTCAGATGCCCCCTGCAAGCAATTAGAGGGAGTTGGTTTCTTATCATGACAAGAATAAATGGTAGTATCATCAGTGAACAATGCCACCTTAGATGTGAAAATATCTGGAAGATCGTTAATGTAAATCAAAAAGAGTATAGGGCCAAGGATTGAACCTTGGGGAACCCCTGAGGTTACAGAATAAGAAGAAGAGCGCTGTCCATCAAGGACAACTTTTATACTACGATTGGAAAGGAAGGATTCATATTGAAGATTTTATGATTGTAAAATTTCTGACTAAATATAATCTATATAAAAAAAGTGCTAAATTTTCTTAAAAAAACAGAGCAATGAAAATTAGTAGAAAATCACATATCAAACTTTTTATATTGAATATTTTATATACATTATTTTTAAAATTTGTTTGTATAAGTCCATTACTTGTAATATTAAAAAGTCAATCGCTTCTGGTAATAAATCATTTATAAATAAACAAAAAACCTGCTAAACCTGCTAAATGGTTGAGTGTTCCCTATCTTTCCTAGATTTGTGTATATGTATTTATATTGTATACACATATTAAATATTTACACATATCCATTTCAAATCATCCAATATCATTGTACCAAAATCAATTTCTTTACTTTTTTCGGCTAAAATTATACAAGGTCTGTATCTATATCTGCATCTCATACATGTCTGAAACTTTTCCTTCCAGTCCTTCAGAAAATCATTAATTTTAGCAATTAGATTTTGTTTTTTAAAATAAATTTTTTTGAACAGCTCTTTGAGGCATATTTTTATATTTTACAACAACAAAATGTGAGGTATGTGTCACTACTTGTCAATATTAAGTGAAACAACAATTAAAGTTTTATCAAATTTTGATAACCCAGATTATAGTGTTAATTTCTTTTTTATTTTTATTTTATGAGGTTTACTTTTCTGTTAAAAAGTTTTATTCTGTTAAAAAATTTTATTCTGTTAAAATGTCAAAATTTAGAAGATGGTTACTCTGATATTATGGAATTTTTCTGAGTGCAAGAACTTTTCTAAGGTATAGCAATAACTATGGCAAGTCATAGTTATAAATCTCTATATGATATAATGTATCACTAAACATGAGATCTTTAAGGTGTGCTATCAGATGCATGATGTATTTTTGCTGTAGTATTTGATGTTTAAAAAGTATTGCAGGCAAGTAAAGAAAGCTGAATCAGCACTACCAAAATCACCAAGAAGTACTAAAGTTGTAAAAAAACACACACATCAAATGCTAAAATAGTTGGTTATTTAATTCATGGAGTGAGGAGGAGTGATAATTTACGGAAATAATTAAATACTTGCTACACTAATAATAATTTAGCTTAAAGAATTTTAATGGCATTTTATAAAAGTTGACAATTAATCTTACTTCTAAGATATATTTAAAATTCTTTTGGCATGTAAAAGACAGTGTTAAATTACTGCCTAAAACTGTTTTTTCATCTTGTTATCACAGTATTGTTGATAAAATAATGAAAATATTTTACAGCAATGTCTAAGGTTCAGCAATCTCTATATAAAAATAAAGAGAATTATAAATCTGAGGTTGGTAAAAACTGTGGTTAAGTAACACATATTAAAGAAAAAGTGTCCTGCAACTTCTAGTAGACTGAGAAACCAATAAAGTTAAATATTTGGTTAATTAGAAATCTTAAAAAAATTTCTTAGATCTACATTATAAATTTCTTAGATCTACATTATAAGTTTCTTAGATCTACATTATAAATTTCTTAGATCTGCATTATCTACATATGAGCAAACTACATGTTATTTAATGATATAAATAGAAGACAATAATGGTAGTCATGGTAGTAATGGTATCATGTTTGATAAAGAAATTTATTGCATTCTAAATAATTGTTTTTAATTGGTAGTTGAAAATTAAAAAAATACAAAACATCTTAGCTTAAAAATAGGTTATATCTAATTTACTTTCTGTGTTAACAACAATTTTAATTATAAAAATAGTATATATTTTTAAACAAAATGAAGCACTTTAAGACCTGAAAATAATACAGCTGTATATCCACATATTGTCATTTTTTTCATTAAATATTAATCTAGTTAAAATTTTAATCACATGTTCTGAGAATTTTAGTACTCTTGCTATCGTAAATTTTGAACATAGCATGTCTGTATGATATTTTTCGTATTTGCTAAAACTTAGTTTTTAATGGAGCACAAAACAACTAAAAAGGGACATACAGTGTTAATCTTTTAAACTGGTGATTATTAATCGAATTAAAATGTTTATGAAAAAGAAACAAGTCACCTTGTATGTTTGGCAAGGCTAGGTACTGCATTTTCTACTTCTTATAATAAAAAGGTTTGCTCTCAAGTTGCCTACTTTTTAGTTAATATTTTAAGTTGCTCAATTTTCTTTAACTGATTTTTAATAGTGTTATTTTTTTATAAACCTTTTTGGGAAAGATGTTCTTTTCATTTTTGGTTTTATATTTCTAGCTATAAATTTCCAGTTATTTCTATCCTGTTCTCTACACTATGTTAACAGAATGTGAAAATTTTAAAGTTTATTGATTGTTATTGAAGCATTGCATTAAATAAAGCAACTTTTTTTTATAAAAGTATCAGAATTTCAAAACATCATTTATTTTAATTTATTTAACACTAGTAATACTTTCTTAAAGAAAAAAAAAATTGTAGCAAATTAGTTTTTTTTTTTCAATAAAGTTCTTTTTAGGAAAAAAAATGAAAAGTGAGGGAATTGTTACAAAAGACAGTCATATATGGAAAGAAGGCTTTATGGAAAAAAAAACTGGAATAATTAAAATGTGGAAATCACGTTATTTTGTACTTCTAGATGATGTCTTGTGTTATTTTTTACGTGAAGAACAAAAGGAGTCATTGCGTCCTACTGGGAGAATATTCTTTAGTGATACAACTTATATTGATAGAACTGAAAAAAAATCTCATCCATATGCTATTCTTATTCAAACACAATCTAAAAAGCACTTAATTAGTTGTGCTTCATACCGTGAACGTGAAGATTGGGTAAATAAAATATGGGAAGCTAGAGAAAAACATAAAATGTTAGAACATGATGATCCGATTAGAAGAAAAAGCACTCGTCTCGGAAAAGATTTCAAAAGAGTTACTATTCAAAAAGATCCACAACATGGTATTGGATGTACAATTAAAAATGTAGGTGGAGCGATATTTGTGAGTAGAATTATACCTGATGGACCTGTTGCAACATCTGGAGTACTTAGACCAGGTAAGCATTTATTTTCCTTAAAAAGTTCATATTTGCATGTATTTTTTTTTGGAAGATTAGATTTTTTGGAAAAAATACAAAAAATACGTATCATCTCAATATTGTTATAATATTTTTCAAATGTCTGATTAATTTTAATCAATTTATTTAAAAAATTCAAGATATTCAAAAAAATTATCAGAAAAAAAAATTTGAAAGATTTCAACTTGTTATTTAGCATTTTAATATATATATATATATATATATATATATATATATATATATATATATATATATATATATATATATATATATATATTATATATATATATATATATATATATATATATATATATATATATATATCAGGCCTTGTTACGAGATTTCGCTGCGTAACCGAAAAGCGAAACGTGAATAAATGTAACTTTACTCAATAAAGATATTTACATTGTTAAAAGTTAAATTACGTCAGTTGCGTTTTTACTTCATTGTAATTAAATTTAAAATGACATTAAAAACTATTGTTAGTCTTTGAAACGAAATAACTTTAAATTGAACAATGTTGTTATAAAAAAAAAAAATTTCAATGTTGATTAAAAAAAAGTCTTGTATTAAAATCTTATACTTATTTAAACTTATTTTTTTTGCTTTTAAACATTCGTTTTATGGTTGTTTTTTTTTAAATATTTTTTTTTTAAATAATTTAAATTTAACACTTGTTTATGGTTGATTTTCTTAAAGGGATTTAAATGTACTTATAACTAAATGCATAGATTGGGTTTTCCCCTTTTAAAAAAAACGTTTGCACTATCTGGTTTTGATAAAATAAATGTTGTAAAGAAACGAAATTTACTGCTTTTTCGGCTTTGTTTTTTTTTTATTTCCATTAAAATATTTTATATTTATGTACAGTGAAACCTAATATTTTTTTTACTCAATCCAAAAAAAAATATAGTGTTTTCAGTTTTAAGATGTTATAAGCAGAATTTGTTTTTAACAAATATCATTATAATTTTGAAATTTATGTATCTTATATTTATAGCTCTAGTACTAGTTTTGTTTTTAAAATAAAATAAAGATAAGTTGGGCTTTTAAAGAGTTTATTTACTGATCGCGTTATTTTTAATAGGTTTGAATTTTGGTTTGTTCAAGGACGTATACGTCCTTGGTTTGTTTTATAAAAAAAATTCTTCGGCAAACGGCATAGGGAAAACCCAAACATAACATTTATAACTCGTCTAAAAGTGTTGGCGTCATTTATTAACTTGAAGTTATAAAATGAATAATGCGCTTCTGTAAATAATGAATAAAACTGTAAAATAATGGAAAAATAAAAACTGGAAAATAATGCGCTTTTGTTAAGCGCGTTATTCAGACCAGTATTTTGAGCTTACCTGAAACTTAACTAAAATTAAAATAAAGTTGTATGTAATACAAACATTTTAAAGTAACTTGAATTAAATTTATTAAATTATTTTTTACTTTGGAAATTTTATCATAAAAAAAGCGGAGCATTTTAAAATTAAAAAATTTTAAAATGCTCTGCTTTAAAATTAAATGAAAGAATTTTAATTAAATTTAATAAATTTATTTACTAAAAACTATAATTAATGAAAAAATATTTAAATTTAATAAAATAAATTGAAATAATTTCTTTTTTTAAATTTGATCGTTTTTAAACTTATGAAATATAAAACTTAATATTAAATATGATAAAAAGTTTAAACTTAAAACACTTATTTTTTTTAACTAATTTTTAACAACAACAACAATAAAAATAATTAAACCAATTTTTCTTTAACAAAAAATCTATTAGTTTACAATTGCAGTTAAATGCTTTTACTTACGACTTTATTTTCTTCTGAATAAATTTCACATAAACGATATCAAATGATAATTATATTCTAAAAGATTAAAGTTTTTGCGTAACGCAAAACTGCTGAACACGTAGGGAAATCGCCTTTTTGCAAGTAAAATGCGAGCTGCGTAAAGATTCTTAACAAGGCCTGATATATATATATATATATATATATATATATATATATATATATATATATATATATATATATATATATATATATATATATATATATATATATATATATATATATATATATATATATATATATATATATATATATATATATATATATATATATATATATATATATATATATATATATATATATATATATATATATATATATATATATATATATATATATATAACGATATCAAATGATAATTTAAATATTCTAAAAGATTAAAGTTTTTGCGTCCAGTGTACACCACTGTATATATATATATATATATATATATATATATATATATATATATATATATATATATATATATATATATATATATATATATATACAGTGGTGTACACTGGACTTTTAGATGTTTGAGTTTTGACACTTACAGGTATTGTGCAAACTCCAAACTTTTGTATGTTCATACTTATGTCAAATGAGAATGTTTTGCAAAAAGTTGTGGTGATTGGAGCTTGGGGACAAAAAAACCCCAATCTTTGGGCCCACCCAGCCCTTAACGTGGGAGCAACAAGTTGATAAAATAATTTTTTTAGTATTTTTATCTAAGTTTATATTCATCAACAAATTTCAAATTTCATCCAATAATTTCTTATTTTTCGAAAATTATAACCATATAAAGTTTTAACCCCCTCAATTTGAGGGGGCGGTAAACTTTGTAGGGTCATAAAAACTAAAAACTAAGAGGTTATTGCATGAAATTTGAAATTTGTTGATGAATAAGGCTGATATTAAGGGCTGGGTGGGCCCAAAAATTGGGGTTTTTTTGTCCCCAAACTCCAATCACCACAACTTTTTGCAAAACATTATCATTTGACATAAGTATGAATATGCGCAGAGCATTGCTACATCGACTGTCTTATAGCCTGACTCGCAACAGAGTGCTACTACATCGACTGACAAATAGCCTGACTCGCAAGGGAGTGCTGCTACATTGACTGACAAATAGCCTGACTTGCAAGGGAGTGCTGCTACATCGACTGAGGGTTTGTTTTGGGCAGGCAGTCTATCATTTGAAATAAAATAAAATAAATTTTAAGTTTTAAAATTATTTCTGGTCTGGTTTATTAACGCGCTCTTTAAAACTATAGTTTTAAAGTAATAAAATAATAGTTTTAAAGTAATAAAATAAACTATAGTCTGCCTTGTAGGATACGCTTTTTTAGGCAAAGGCTAGGAGAAGTTAACTCCGAATTAAAACACCCCCTGCCTTGGGGCTCTTGGTTGAGTAAAGGCTAGAGATGGTGTCTCGATAAAAATACTCATCTTGGGCAGATGTTACATGCATCCAGCTGCTGTCTTGTAGAAGGCCTCCTAGGCAAAGACTTAAGGGGTAAACAGATTCTATCTGTTGACCAGCCTCGCACCCCTTCCTCATCTATTAGGCTGGCGCAGATGTATTTTTAATACATTGTTTCCAGTTTAGGATGTTGAACGCTGGATCTTCTTGACTCAATGCGTGGGTATTGCTTGTGTCTCTATTTTTATGACTGGGCAACTCATTCTATTATCTCCTAATGAGGGTACAGCTCTAAAACTCAGTTTTATGGTTCTGAGGCCGGCTGGTAGTCAGGTTTCCCGAACTCTGTGGTAGCTCTCAGAGAGGCTGATTCCATCAACAGCCGAAAAATATCAGAGTACTAACAGTGCCATGTTGCGCATGGATGGTGTCCCTGTTTGTACTTTTGGTGTGCATTGCAGAGGCCACATTTGGAGCCCTTTGTTACGGCTTAGGGTTTATTAATAGTAATGAGGCTATTGCTTAGTTGTTAAATAGTGTACTGAGTACTATCTACACTTGAGTCAAGTTCTTTATAAATTTAAAATGACTAAAGTACCTAAAACTAAAAAACACAAAAAACCATCGTCATCACCAAGTTCTCTAAACCTATCATTTACTAATATTCGTGGTCTTCGAAGTAACTTTTCTTCTGTTGAGTCTTATCTCTTGCAAAGTTCACCAGACGTACTTGCTCTTTGTGAGACTAATTTGAGTTCGGCTGTCCCATCTTGTGATCTTAGTGTTGATGGTTATCTTCCTTTAATTCGTAAAGACTCCAATAATCACATGCTTGGCCTGGGCATCTACATTCGTAAGAACTCACCCATTTGTCGTGAAACTAGGTTTGAATCTACAGACTATTCATTTATGTGCTTTCGCTTAGCACAACTTCACTCTATCGCCTTTCTCTTTGTTCTATATCGCTCTCCTTCATCCCAAGATTGCACTATTCTTGATGTTATTTCTGATCAAATTGACCAAGCCCTCTCTCTTTATCCATCGGCCAATATCGTCGTTGTTGGTGACTTTAATGCCCATCACACCGATTGGCTTGGCTCTAGTGTCAGTGACTCTGCTGGCGTTAAGGCCCTCAACTTTTGCCTTTCTCAATCTCTAACTCAAATAGTCAACTTTCCAACTCGTTTTCCAGACAACCCTAATCATTTACCTTCTCTACTCGACTTATGTCTTGTTTTGGATCCTAGTCAGTGCTCAATTTCTCCACATTCACCCTTAGGTACTTCTGATCACGGTTTGATCTCTCTAAAACTATTATCAAATTCTTCTACTTCATCAGAATCCCCCTATCATCGTACCACATACAACTACCTTAAAGCTGACTGGGACTCTTTCCGTGATTTTCTTCGTGATGGCCCTTGGGTAGAAATCTTTCGTCTTCCTGCTGACAAATGTGCTTCTTACATAACTTCGTGGATTCAGGCTGGCATGGAATCTTTTATTCCCTCTCGACGATTCCAGGTCAAGCCTCACTCTTCTCCTTGGTTTTCCTCACATTGCGCTGCAGCAATTTCTAATCGAAACCGTTACTTCCATATCTATCAGCAAAACAATTCTCCAGAAAACAGACATCTGTTCACTATCGCCAGAAACCATTGTAAAAAGGTTTTGTCTGACGCCAAAGCTCGCTATTCCCAGGTCATTAAATCTCGTATCTCATCACAAAAATT